TCTCACATCTAGTGCATTGAATGGGCTTTCTGTCAAATCTAGCCTTCTTGTCGGCTACTTTGTGGAGTTCTTCCACATACAACCAACACTATTTGAGAAAACACCAAGTATTATCGACCTGCAGATCTCGTGCGGAGATTGGACCCGTGTGACAGGTGAGCCGCCTGGGGGTATTTGGGCTTGGACCAAATACCCCAACACTACCAAAATCATTTCCAAATATACTTATTATTTTACAATCTTTTTTGAACTATTATTTCTATAATAATTATTCAGATAAGTTACTCCAACATATTTTTATGTTATAGCTGAAAGTAATTTTTTAATAATTAATAATTATTGTTCACAAATATTGACTCACATGATCTAATTATATCTTTATTTTTGTATAATAAGTGATTTTGCTAGATACCATGTAATAGTTATCAAATTAAAATAACAATGATTTATTAATACTTTTAATTGAACTTATCAAATATTTTTAATTAAAACAACACATGGCAATAGAGGAGACTGTTATACATACATGTGTGAGCGCGTATGTACACACACACACTATATTGGAATACATTAGAGGGCAGTTTTGGAAGTTGGATAGTGTTTCATTTATGGTGTTGCCACATGTCATTTTTCTACAAAGATATTGTCACATGTCAACAATTCCTCTAAAGTGTTTTTTAAGGGTTTGCTTTATTATATTATATAGATATTGTATTAGCTAGGGCTCGGAATTTAGAACAATGGGAGAATCGAACCATAGTGAGCCGGTTTTGTTCAATTCCAACATTTATTAGTTACTTGTTGATGGTTCATTTACTGTTTTTTATTAACATAACGGTTTGACTCTCGGTTCATGGAAAAAAATATGTACATGAAATCTTTAAAGAACCCTCATATATGATAATTACTCTCTCCGTCTCTTAAAATTCTTCCAACTTTCCTTTTTGGGTCATCCCAAAAAAATCTCCCAACTTCCCCTTTTTGGATAATGGGAGATTTCAACAAGTAGGACCTAATCATACTAATTTTCCAAAATTAAGATTAAATATTAGCCTAAGACTCAAGTACACCTGTTTTGACCAAGTTGCCCTTCCTTTTAAACCCCCCTGCGCACAAACAAACTCCATCGATGCCATAGTCACACAGTCACACTTAAGATCTTTTCCCCTGCGCACAATAAGAACAATATAAAATTATACTCCCTCCGTGCCAATAAATTCTTCCAACTTTAAGTTGGCTCGCGTATTTGGGATGTGAAATAAAGTGGAAATGTATGGTTGTAGTTGTGTAAGAAAAAAGTGAAATGAATGTGAGCCACACAAATTATCCAAGAGAAAATTGCTCTCGGTGGGATCAAATCAAAGGAACTTTACAAAAGTAGGATTGAGCTTTGTTTTTTCCATGCGTAGGATATGTTTAGCACTGTTTAAGAAAACTTTATTCTTGTCTTCCATTTTTACCCTTCCCTTATCTTATCCGCTAGATGCTTCTCTCCTTTTCAAATTGGAAGGCCATCTACCTCGATCAACTCCTTCATGTGCCGTTAAAGTTTTTATTAGAGGTGGCGCACATCCCGGTTAGAAAACAGAGGTGGGCACACCGGACTGTACGGCGGCGGAGCTAGGCGACTATTCGGCGGCGGAGCTAGGCGACTGTGCGGTGGAGATAGGCGACTGTGCGGTGGCGGAGCTGGACGCCTAGGTGATATTTCTCCTCCTCCTCCTCCTCCTCCTCTTCCCCTTCTTCTCTACTCCAACTTCTCTACTCCATCTTCTTCTCCCTCCTCCTCTTTTGTCTTCTTCTCTTGATTTTATTTGTTCAATTGTGAGATTTAGAATGAAAATTGCTATTTCAGATCTGAATTTTTAGGATTCAAAAAACGAGAGATTGCAATGATCGGTTATCTCAAAGTTTTAGACCTAGTTTTTTATTCATTTCAATTTTTTTTTTTTTTGAAAAATGAAATTATTTTTTTCTAAGCTTTTGCAATTTGAAAATATTTATGTAATGAGTTTTGAATTTGAAATTGGCATAACTAATATTTTATTTTTATGTAAATACTCTTGATTCCAACATCGAGGGAGTATATATATAAATGTTTATTTACTTATTTGTTTTTATATTACATTGACTATTTATTTAAGTATTTAATATTGTTATTTATTTTAACGGAGTCGAGTACTCTGCTCGTGATCCCTTGAGTACTCCATCTATTTTGCCTGGGAACCGAACCGGTCCTAAGCCTATTAGCTGTGTAGGTTTAGGAGAATTTTTTTTTAAAGGAAAAAAACCAATAGATCAATTTAAACAATCGCTTGTCAATTGGCTCGAAATACAACTCAGTCTACCATCAAAGTAATCACAACCCGACTTGAATAACGTGTTCCTAGGGAATTTCTGCAACCTTTTGAGTCACGCGATTCGCGAATCATTTACAATACTTGACAACAAACCTAGATTCACTATAAAGAATGTGTCTAATATCGCTCATGATAATGTCAAAGTATGAGCCTCCTGAATCTTCCTCCTGTGTAGTTGTAATCAATTAAGCGTTTGTTTCTATCAACTCTATTCCATCCTTGATTATGTGCCCATGTGACTGCCGCTCTAACTCCAAAAGCCTTTGTGATGCTTAGTGACCAACATGTTGTATGATTTCCCATCCTCCGCTAATAAGCTCGTCATTATGATCTCTCGCAAACTATTAACAAGCTATGCGTCCCCGATGATCACATGTAGGCCCATCAACGTTAATCTTTGATTGTTCCAGCGGAATTATACAAACGTGCTTTTCAAGAATGAAGACGGAAGTAGGGGTGGCTGGAAAAGGCGAAAGATGGGGCCACTTATAGTAACTAAGTAAGTGGTGCCTAGGGATTTTGATAGTGTTTTTTCACGGGTCTGTTTGGTCAGAGGGAGTGACAGGAAGTTCTGATTTATGTTTTGACAGTATTTACTAATTGTTATAGGGCTACAAATTAATTAAAATGTATAAATAGGACTATAAGTTTATAACTCTTTAAATACGACCACGGATTACCAATATACGACAAATTATATTGTGGGATCATTACATCGTGCGCATGATGTTTAATCGACGACGGCGACGCAACTTCCTTGTTGGAGACGGTGACACAACATCCCAGACGGAGACAACTGCTTCGTCTTCAAAATAGCTCATCGACAATGATGGCTTCATATTCAACATAGCTCGCTGTCAATGACGTTCTTATCCCCCCATTATATTAAGTCTCGACTCCACTTGATGGTCGGCCAATGTGGAATGGTCATATTGGAAATTACTACTATGCCTTTCTTATTTGTTATCTCTGCTATAATCCTTTTGGTCGCTCAATTTTACTATTCCTTCTTTTTATTTCTTTTTCTCCGCTATATCTGCTATCATTTGATTTTCCCCTAAATTTTGACTTTCCAATATTTTTTCATTTGCAAATCTTGAACCGACAATCTATATAGACCCCTAAATTATGTGTTTCCAATTTTTGACCTCCTTTTCCTCCATCTGATTTCCACCGGGCGACGGTAGCTGAAGATTGCTCCAACATAATTAGTTGCGGGCACAAGGAGTTGAACTTTCTTCCGCAATTGATTAATTAATGATGATGGTATCTTGCACATATTTCCAGATTGGCATCAGCACATGGAAGGAAGGTGATGTTTATATATGAAATCTAAAATAGAATTTCTTCTCTGATTTGATATTGGGTAGCTGATAATGGGGATAATGGAAGAAATATATATACAATTGTATATATGTAGGGATAGTGGGGGGGCTATATACAATCAATATCATGGAGGGATAATATTAATATAATAATGTGGGATAATGTAATGGGAAATAATATATATAATAATAATATATAATTGTATATAAATGGGGTAGTAATAAAAAAGAGGATTGAATGACGGGGATTATCCAAGTCTTCAACCGTAGGACCACTATTCGTATTGTTGTTAATTAATTAGTTAGTGTGAAGACATATAAAAGCATGTTTGGAGAATGTGCAAAAGAAGTGCAGAGGCTGAATTAATAAAACAATCTGTCTTCAACCAGTGGGATGAGGTTTGTATGGAACATCGCACAACAATAGAGATGGTGGACACAATTCTAAAAGATATTATGGATTCCAATGATTTGTTTGGTGGAAAAGTAGTTGTTCTAGGGGGAGATTTCAGACGAACCCTTTCGGTTGTATGAGCAATGAAAAAACAAGATTTCTTAGAAGCATTGTCAAATCTCATCTTATTTGGACAAAAGTAGAAAAGTTATTTTTAACAAAGAGCATGCGTGCTTTAGAAGATCCCCTTTTTCTGAATTTCTCGTGAGAATCGGAAATGGGGTGGAAAAGTGTATCTATAAAAACAGAATTACACTTCCTATATCCATGATCATTCCATACACCACCGAAAATGACTTTGTTCAAAGACTGAGTAAAGCCGTGTTCTAGATTTCTGCAGTTATTTACGTGATCCATTTGCTTTCATGAACACTAGTAAACTCACCCGTGCGATGCACGGTTTGAGAATTTTTATTTCAAATTTATGTGTGCTTAGTAATTCAAATCACACTATCAATTGATGACAACATCTATCTTCATGTAATACTGATATACATCAAAGCATTAACCGAAACACACTTATAATATTATGGTCAAAATGAGAGTACTAAGCATTACTTAAAAGATCTAGAGCATATACTATTATATGTTTAGAAGAATGTCCAAAAAAAAACATTAATCAAAAGATCAAAAACATCCAACCAATACGTTGAAACCATAACATTGAAAATATGCATTTAATGTCAACATAAACTGTGTTGAACACTTCTTTAAATACAACATTCTCAGTCTTGGCAGTGGTTCCTTCATCTTCATCAACAATTAGAATTTTCAAACCACAATGATTGGTAACTCTTGATTCTGCAACATACACCTGTTCGTGGGTAAATACCGTTTTTTCAACAACAACCCAACACGGGACAAAGACTGACCTTGACTTTTATTTATAGTCATAGCATATGAAGTCATAACAGGATATTGTCACCTATGAGATTTGAAAGGCAAGTTGACATCGGGTGGCGTCAAGGGCAATATAGGAATTAATACTTTTAGTCCTACACTCACACCAGTTAAAATTCCACCCTCCAAAACATGATCACCGAAGCTTGTTAGAATAAGACGTGTCCCGTTACACAACCCCATTGAATGATCGATATTTCACAAAAACATCATCGGGGTCCCTACCTTTAACATTAACTCATTATTCAGTACACCAGACAATTTTATACTATTCAAGAACTCAGATCTATGCAGTTCCACCATTAGATTGGTCGCAGAATCTTCCTTAGAAACATTGTCAGAACTAAGATATGTTCTTGAAACTTCACCAACATTAAGAGCCGTCATATAGCTAGTCATTAACAGCTTCAACCACAGCCAGTGTTGGTGCCAAAATTGCACGGTCGCGCAAACAACTCATATCACCTGCAGATTCAACATATTCCGGAAATATGCTTTCAACAATCACAGCTATAGGATCTCCATCTGTGCATATCAATAGATCTTCAGGAGTAGTAATACGAATATGACCATCATTACTTTCACTCGCAACACTGTCACCAATGTTGGCAATCCAATCTGAAAAGAACTTCAAATCGTAAGAATATGATGGATTAGTCATGTTCTGCAGGCGCATATTTTTAGTCAAACGAAGGACTGCATTCCGACCACATATATGATGAATTAATTGTCGCATTGACTACATCCAGTCTACTCCCATGAGGTATCATCGGCAACACCTGCCGAAAAATCAAAGGTTTATATAAATTAATTGAAGGTAAATTATTTATAATGACTAAGCAATAAGGTGACTATAAATTTACACGAATTGCATTTTTTTAGGCGAATTGTCTCTCTAAATAGGTAAAATAAGGGAGTAAAATATGTGAAAGCGTGTTATGTCATTCTTGAATTATATTTGAATCTAAATTTGTAAGAAAATGTTCAAATAGGTGCTTATACTGTTTCTAATATCCAAAAATGGTCTGGTCTGGTTTGTCTAAGTTTGGTTTGGTCCGAGACTGAAATAAGTCTAAGTATAAACATCTCAAGTAATATGGTGACTATGCATTTATACGAATTGCACTTTTTACACGAATTGCCCTGGTAAATTGGCAAATCAGGGGATGTGCAAATATGCGAAAGTGTGTTATGACATTATTAAGCAATACTCAAATATGAATTTGTGAGAAAATGTTAATTGAGTCCGTATATGAAAAGTAATGCTATCATTTAAGCACGATAACTTTCGAAACACATTCAACAAATAGAATCTATAGTAGTTCTTAATTCAAAAATAAGTACAACACCAGTGCGACGCTCAGTAGGTGAAATGTAAACGGCAAAGTTTTACTCAAATTAGAAAGGAAAAAAACATACACAATAAGCAAATTTGATGTAAAATGAAATATTCAATACGATTTACGGAGTATCAATGATTGTGGAGTAGCACACAAATGTGTATAGTCTAACAAAATAGGAGCACTCAATACAAATATAATTTGAAAACAAATTACATTCTATGCTTAACTTTATGAAAAACTTATTTGTATAGAAAATTATTGGTTTCACATTTCATTCTCATGTCATCGTTTGTGTGCAATGTCATTTGTTACGTCATAGCAAAGAAGCGCAGACAGTTTAGTGAGCCATTTTGCTTTATTCCATCATATTCTCAAGCAAAAAAATAATGAATCTTTGGCTCCATTGCAAATGATGGAAAATGACTTTTTAAAATAAATGTACTTAGATGAAATTTTCTTATTCCAATACATATTTTGATAACTATATTCACAAAACAATTTGCTTCGTAAATAACCTTCTTGCAACTCAACAAATTTAAAAGAAGACTACCCACTCTCCAAAACTCTAATTAAAGCCCAAATCATGTGATTTAATATAAACCAACCCATTTAATATACAGCCCAATCCTATTTACAGACAAAATTAATTCGGCCGATCCAATGAGTCCATGGGTAAATACATTTTTCCCAAAAACAAACCTACGCGGGACCATGATTGCCCTTGACGTTTATTTATAGTCATAACGTATGAAGTCATAATAGGATACTGTGGCATCTGAAATTTGAAAGGCAAATTGTTGTCCAATGGGGTCAAGGACAATCTAGGAATTAATACTTTTTGTCCAACACTCGCACCGGTTAAAATCTTCCCCCTCAAAACATGGTCACTGAGTCTGAGTAGAATAAGCCGAGTTCTGTAATACAACCCCATTGAATAATATGTTCTTTTTCATTCTTTGTAATGAAAAATAATCTTTTAAACTGAAAAAGTATATACTCCGTATGTAAATTACCTTTAATTACAAATCTTGGAAGCTTTAAAAAGACATACTCCGTAAAATATAAAAATAATTCCAGATACACCAAAATATAGAGTTTCACATATTTAAAGTGTTCAAATATTATATTTATATTTATTTGAATTTTCAAAAATATTTACGGTCTCTAACTTCTACGGAGTATAATTTTAAATAAGTTAGAGTTTCAAAAATTAATTTTTTTAAAAAATAAATGTAGTTTAATGATGTTTTGTTTAGCGCGGGGCTTAACCGATAGTCCCAAAATAGTAGAAGTGTCTATTCAACTCTTTTTCTCTTTACGAAAATACACATCCACAATATAATAATGGAAGATGATTCCATAAAAAAACGACAGATGATTTTTTTTTATCGACCTAACTATAATACAAAATATTAGTTTGTAACTAAAAATCCAAATAAGCTGGAATCCATAGCTTTGGGCATGACCCCCTAAATAATGAATGCAAGACATAGAACATTTAACCGACCTATTGAGAGTAGCCCAAGATGTCCCTAATATGAAAACCCATTAACTGGCCCTTATAAGTGAAAGGGGGACACTTCTTTCCAACCCTTGAGAGTCCCTGCCGACCCACAACTATCTACGCCTCAATGCTCAACCTCAACGACGGTCAACCTTGCTGCCTCATCTGGCCGCCGCCAAACGAAGTGATAGTCACAACCGGCCTCTCATCATCAACCGAATGTCAGCCCAAAGTCCAGCCTCCACCCCAACTGTCATAGCAACGATTCGAACCGGCCTCTCATGGCGACATGAGTTGCATGGCAACGGTAAGATCTGAATCTTTTACTCCACGGAACCACATCGTCGCTTAAACGTTTTGTTGATGAAAAAACAACCCAAAATGATTTTTTTTAAACACACATCTCAAAATCTCCCACCTAACAAACTGCTGCTCTTTCCCTTAAAAACAAAGCGGTAAAGATTATAGTAGGCGGTTTCACAAATTGCTTAAAAGAGCAATAAGTCTTTCTTCTGTCTTTTAATTTATCGACTCAACTTTTGGCAGTGTATTTGTTTCTGGATATTGCATTGGAGTTCAAAGATTAAAGCTATGATGGGTAGGCAGTTGTATCACTCATGATTTGTAGTTTCAATTAAAGGAGGTAAGCTCTTTTGAAAAATCTGTTTCCTAAAAACGAATTTTATATGAACCATATCATCCAAACCCCACAGATCTGGAAGATTTGTGTTTAAGGTTCAAAATGGTTTGCATTTTAGATTATTGCTCTTTAATATCGATCTTGTTTGACTGCACTATAAAAAAGTTATATTCAATAATTCAATAACATAAAATAACTGTTACAAAACTTTAACTAAATCCGGCAAACATTTCTTTAAGTTTGAACCCCGGTTTTCGACATATCATGCATTGAAATTAATTAAATAAGTTTTTTCATTAAGTAATCAAAATTTTGGACATGTGAATATTTTTGTGGAACACTTAGTTTTGAAACTCCCAAAAACGTAAAATAGTTTTAAATATTTGCGGAATAAATATAGGTTTTTTATATTGATTTTAATATTGATTTTTGATATGGATTTAAATATTTTTTATAGAGAAAACACACATTAAATATGGTTCCACAGGAAACGTTTAAGTCAATATCAATTTCAACGAATGACTTTCAAGAAACATCATAACAATGGAATGATAAGAAGATCCAGCAATCTTATACTCATCAGAAGGTATTGAAATATTGGAAACATTTATTTCCTCTCCAAGTAGCACATTAGAAGGTATTGAAATATTCATTTAGTTATATTTTATTACATTTAATTTCCTAAGGTTGTATAAGCTACTAACATTTGTGTTGCTTTGTAACCATAACCTGGGAGGAATTGGGGGATTGAGTACAACAGAGGGCATATCAGATTAGGCAAGCAAACATTACTTGGCAAAACACATAACCAAAGTGCAAAATGTATTTGTTAACACGATGCGCATGGCTGTTCATCTTCGATGGTAATCTTATGTACTTATTCCTCTTGACGCGCATTTGACATAAATTAGAAAATTGATCAATATGCCTCCGTACTAATAAATACGGAGTAGTAAATACATTGTTTAAATTTTAATTAACAAATTTTATTTTGAAATGCGGGTCTATTGATGTATTTTCTATGGGTGACCATTGTTTCCTTGTTTTGTATGTCCTTGATATGTAAAATTAATTTAATGTAGCTCAAATTTAATGTAGCTCAATGTGTTAGTTTGAAATGTAATAATTTAATAATTAGATTTAGATTTGGATAGAATTAGGACCGGAGTGGAAGCAGAGATCCCGGGTATGTCTCTTCAACCTCTGCGTTTTTCTCTGCCTCACAATTACGGAGTATAACATTAACCTCTGCGTTTTAAAACTTGCCAAATAAAGAAAACATCAAATGGTTGAATAAGGAATATCAAACCAATGGCTCCAAACATTACCATCATATAATTCGTAACTTAAGCCAATAAACACCATTTTGCTGAAGATGTAATCTTCCTCAACAATATTTTTTTAATTGCAAAGATGCCTCCTAAATATGCCATTCAATTTAGTGATGAACTCATCTGCATCTGGGCATAAATCCTCAAGCCTTGAATTTCACAAAACAGCCGTTTAAAAAAAATGCAAATGTGACCAAAAGTAATTAAAAATTAATCGCTAAGAAAGTATTAGGAAAACCTCACATGAAGTATAACTTTCATAGATTTTGGGAAACTGCTTTTTGTTGGTTCTGGATTGACACATGGCCCTCACCTTGCCTAGGTAGTATTACTTTGATCAATCTCATGAATAATGACCACATACCGGCCATATCAAAAGATATACTCGGTATAATGTTCGTGCTATTTCAACTTCATGTGTGAATGTGTGCTGAGAATTGTGTTACGGAAGTGTTGCTTTTAAAGCCAAACGTTTGAATGGCCCACACCCGTTTTTTAGACCTCTCACAAAATATCTTTGAAGAGCAGTTGGGAATTAGATATACTAAATCTTAATCACTGTGCACACCACCCATTTCCACCAATAAGAATAAATCTACCTTGTCCACCTCCACTCTAGACAAATTGAAATTGCTCGTACAAAAGTTGTTGAGTCACCATTGGTTATCTACTTAGAAACAATTTAGTTTTTAATCATTTTGGCAAATCACCAAATAGTATCAACAGTAATCACCTCCAATATGAACCAATAGGAGCTCTTTGATCCCAACATACCCTGAAACGTGAAATCCAATACTTTTTGTGAATATTTATTTTCCATTTATTTTGATAAATAACCAAATGAGTCATTGATGTTGACATTTTTGGGAGGGAACCCTATTCACAAAAAGTGTTCCTTTAGATATTAATAGATAGTTCTGCTCACAACAAAAAATGAATTTACTGGTGAACTTAACGATATTCTCCTCCAACAATTTCCCAACATAGAAAAAAACTATTTTAGCAATGATGAACCTGGAGAGGGATATAAATCTGAATGTTATCTTGACTTGTTAAATTATGTTTCTTCTCCTAGTGTTACATTACTCATCTTGATAAATTTGTGGACATCTTTAATTACGAAAAAGTATTGATGTCAAACTCAATGTGCTTGATATCTAACGCAAAGGTTGACAAGGGATATGACAACTTCAAACCCCATATCCAAACTATATATATTTGTGGAATCTTAGTCTGAAAGTGTCATTCAACCATTGGCAGAAAAATGGCCAGGTGCACTTATTCTAGCTTCAACACAGTTCCTGTTGATGAACTCTACAAATCAATGATGAAGGGGTTGACTATTGGTTATTATTAATATCTTTCCACTGAAATATCTTGCTCATCAAACTTGTAAATACGATAGTTCAATAACTTAATATGAGAGCATGCAGATCTATTCGCAGTTGTCATATACAAGTTGCCTAAAGACTTCACCATCATTCAGCAAAAGCAAGTGAAAACTAAAGATATTGTGGTCATTGACTTGCATTGAGTTTTCAAAGATTGCAGTTAATACTTTATTACATTTTAATTATTATAAATTTAAAATATTTCCTCACTATATTTTTTTCCTTTTCAATAGTTTGAAACCAGTTATCCTTAAGTTTTGGCCAGAATTTGTGGACATTGAGGGTACTGCTTTGAAACATGAATTGGAGTCTCGCAAATTTCCTATATATAGCACTGCTAAAAAAGATTGCAGTCAATGGTCACCGAGGTTACATGTCAACTAAATCATTCTAAAATCATTTACCTCACATGCTCTGAATTATGTATTTACATGTTAAATTTAGACTATGTGCATTTGCTCAGGACTATCATTATCAACAAATGTTGGTTCGAGTATTAAGATTAATCCTGATTTCCTAAAAGCCATAGAGTTAAAAGTTTGGTATACTCATCTTAGTCGAACCCTTTTACCTTCATATATACAAACACTTTCAACTCAATATATTTATTCACTTCAAGTTATACATGAACCATATGCTTATATTAAGGACAAAAAATAAAAAAGATGCTTTCAACCGAGCAATTGAAAAAAGAGATCACAACCGAACAATTGAAAAAAGAGATCACAACCGAGCTACCATTGCATCGGTTGAATTCTACAACTATGAAGTGGGTTCTCTAAAAACAGTTCCACCAACCATCCCAATTGTAAGTTGTTTCATATTTAAAAATCATATCTAAAACATCAGCATGAGTTTATTTGCATGTGTATGTCATAAAAATGATTTGTTTTTTTTTGTAAGTCAAACCCTATCTGGATAAAAGCAAAGGCGAACATAATTCCTCCCCGTGTTTGACCATGGAGTATAACATGTGATTGGTGCTACATAAAAATGTTTGCTCAACACAACCAGTCATTCTACTGTCCTAATTGTGCTCAACCAAATGTTGTGGGATTACCAAGGTAATATAATCATTATTAAATCCAACTACTATTTTGTATCATTATAACACAAAGTTTACTCTTATAAGAAAAATAACACAAAGTTTACTACCTGTGCATGGCTTTAGATTAACAATCTTGGTTGAGTTATTTGGAGAAGGAATTACACTAGAAGTCGTTGTATACGGAGAAAATGCAAAATATTTGCTCAATGTAACTGCTACTGAGCTAATGAAAATGATAATAATACTTTCTGATTTAAGATTCTAGATGCCCACTATCATATATTTCAAATAAACTGTCATTTAAAATCAAGTAAGGAAACAAACTTAAATGCTGCAAGGAGATAATATCTCATTGAATTGTTTCCAAATGGAAGAGAATTTGTCTTACAGCTAAGATCTTTCACTTCTCATTATTATCAAGATGCAGAAAGTCAAAAATATGCAGTTGCTACTATTGACTATGACTCGCTTGAAGATGTTGAAATCACTGTATACAACCAAAATCCTTCAAATAGTAAACAACAATTGAAGTTTGATGCAAGTTGCATGGTTAAAACATCAGCCACACATGTTTCACTTGAAGTTGATGATCATCATCATCATCATCATCATCATCATCATCATCATCATCATCATCATCATCATCATCATCATCATCATCATCATCATCATCATCATCATCCCCAGTGCCACAAAGGCTCCCACCTACGGTGAGGTGGGGGGGGGGGGGGGTCGGATGTACGCAGTCTTACCCTTGTACTAAAGCACGAAGAGACTGTTTCCGGATGACCCATAGTGAAAATCGCGTCCAAAATGGATAGACTGACTGCAGCTTCATAACAAAGAAGCGCAGATAGTTTAGTGAGCCGTTTTGCTTTATTCCATCATATTTTCAAGCAAAAAATAGTGAGTCTTTGGGTCCATTACAAATGATGGAAAATCTCACTTGAAGTTGATATGCAGCAAAAATCATCACAGTGGTTAACTCCCTAATTGAAGATCCTTGTCACATCCCTTTAAGCAACAAAACAAATTAAAAAAGTTTGTGCTATCAAATAGCAATACAAACGATAACGGTGAAAATCGAAGCAAAGATCTACGCTCAACCAAAACATTCAAAAAAGCTGTATCATCTTCACTAGACAAGGATGAAACAAATGCAGGTGAAGTTGAAAAAGAATGTTCATGGTTGAACCACAAACTACTACTGTTGCTCCTATTATGAAACTAAAGAGAGATGAGCCACTTCCCTAAACGACATATGCTCTAAATATCAAACTTCTAATGGAATTGCTCTATTTTTGATGGGTATAGTTCATGCAAAATGTGCATCACATTTTTTGTTTCCTTGTTATTAGAACTCAACACACATTAAGCTATATGTTTTGTATCACGTGGCATGTTCCTAACATTTTGAACTAATGTAATATAATTAGCTTACCATCAAATACTAAAATGTGATGGGCTAAACTCAATTTGTTGGATGCAGTACTTTCGCGCAACGCGCGAGTCTTACTAGTCTCCAATATAGTTCTCTGATGACAACAACACAAATAAACTAGTGCAATCATCGGTGATGTCAGAAAGTGAAGTAGACCAAGGCAGTTGTTTCTTTTGTGTATTATTGCCTGTAGCCACTTGTTTCTACCCTTAATACTCCTAAGCTAAGAGCCCGTTTGGTAGCACCAAAATCGGCTGATTCTGCTGAAATTTATGAAGTTCTGGCTGGAGTGGCTGTTTTGGCTGATTCTGCTGATTTAAGAAACAAATATTTTAAAAATATATTTTATTGATAAAATAAAGAAAAAACTATATGTAAAAATAGCTAAAATGGTCATCTATAGTAACTTCAGCCAATACAGCCAGAAAAGTAACTTCAACCTTACTTTTTCTGCTTATTACACAATTCAGTGTGCGAAAATAAAAGTTACGTGTTTGGTGATAAAATTGGCTGATAAGCCTGATAAGCCGAAAAAAGAGGTGTCCAAACGGGCTCTAAATATTTCCTAAACAGGAGTATTATTTTTCTACTCTTAATAGTTAATACTACAAATCTAATTAATTAATATAATTAATTGCTCCTAGTTTCATTGCATAACCAGGTGAGTCTGCTGATGATGGGAGAGTCTTGTGATGGTGGCGGCGGCGATGGCGATCGGCGGCGGCAGATCGAGCATCAGTGGTGGATTTATGAAGGTGACTGGCGGCATCTACGGGAGTAGGCCGTCGACACCGGAACTCCGGTACAATGCACCTAAGGGTATTCTTGTCAAAGCTTAAAAAAATTTATTTGGGGATTTTAAAAAATCACTCCTATTTTTTGCGCTTCATAGCCCGAAACCCGAATGCCCCTTGGGCCCTTATTTTCCGTTATCGAATTTGGGTTATGGAGAAACGATGCAGAACGGGGCGACCCGTACTGGAAGAGCCGGACTCTTCCGAGGCGCCAGAGAATCTCCTCGAGTGTGCCCAACTCATCTTCCCCTACTTGCAACCGGCGGATCTTGCCTCCGTTTCTTCAACCTGCAGAGCTTGCCGTCGATTCGCCGACGACATTACTTCCGTTCGAGTCTCCGATGCAACCAGAGGCTTTGAGAATACTGCCATCCCTTTCATCAACGCTGTCGACTCCCAACCGTACGCTTACTTCTTATACACCCCGGTTCAAACACTCCCAGCCGCTGCCATCTCCGCCGCAGCTCAGCGTTGGGGAGCTCCGGACGATGGTAGGGGTCAGGTGAGACCTGACCCATTTTTGTTCAGGGTCGAGGGTGCCCGTGGATGCGACTGCTCCCGGGGATGCAGTGAGAGTTCTGGTTGCAGTTGTTGGGACTCGGCCGAGTTTCCTAGTCGGGAATGTGGTCCTAGCTGTGGCTGCTTATCATTGGAGTGCGGGAACCGGTTGACTCAAAAAGGCATTTCTGTTAGACTGAAAATCGTGAAGGATAAGAGAAAAGGTTGGAGCTTGTGCGCAGCTGATTTGATTCCGAAAGGAATGTTCATCTGCGAGTACGCAGGTAATTTTTTTTTCACACGCAGTAATTTTTGCGGAGGATTTGAAATGGAGACCTGAAAGGCTGTTGCCTGTTTGGTAGTAGTTATTTGGCTGGAATTTGTTGAATATGCTAAATTTGCTGACACAAAAATCATATGGTGAGATAAATTTCAACCAAATAAGTGTCTCTGGGCCAGTTATTCTGCTAATAAGTACCGACTATGATGCTACCGAACGGGGCCTTAGCTCTTCATATCTGGCTAATGCTTTGATCTTTCATAATTGCACTGGACTGTTTGGCCCTTTTGGATTGATGATTCGAGGTTCAAAAAGTACAAAAGAGTTGCTGAATATGAAGTAATCTAGTTAAATCCCAAGATTTGGTTCCTATCCAAACATGGCCTCCAGACTCCAGAAAGGTTTTCTCTATTAGATGAAAGAAATTGCAAGTTTTTAAATTTGGTTCTTGTGACAACACATTTTTGGGTCTTCCAAGTTCCAATTTACAAACTTGGGAGCTAATGCTTAAGAATCGGTTTCATATCCAAAGTTCCGAACAATACTTCTACTGAGATATGACAATTCAATGGGGGTGCTCATCCGTTCAGTTTGATCAGTTCAGTTTTGAAAAATGCAAATCCAAGTCAAACTGAGTAACTTTAGTTGGTTTTGGATGTCTTTGGCTTGTTCCCGTTTTTCGATCGATTGGTGTCAGTTTCTATCTGTTTTGGCATGTTTAGGTTGACTTTTGAATGGTTTCTTATTTGTACTAGACCAATTTGGGTTCACAACTTAATCAATATCATCTTGTTGTACATTTTGCATGAAAGGGGAACTTGTGACAACTGATGTAACAAGAGCTCGCTTCAAACAGTATGATGACATGTCATCAAGAGCCCATTTTTCACCTGCCCTTCTGGTTGTGAAGGAGCATCTTTCTTCTGGAAACACGTGCATGAGAATGAACATTGATGCCACCAAAATTGGTAATATTGCACGTTTTATTAACCATTCCTGCGATGGAGGGAACCTGTGGACAGAAATAGTGCGAAGCTCTGGAGCTTTGTTGCCCCGTGTTTGCTTTTTTGCAACGAGGGACATACATGAAGATGAAGAGCTGAATTTCAGCTATGGGGATGCTAGGCTTAATCCTAATGGCGCCCAATGTTTTTGTGGCAGCCCTTCGTGTTTAGGGATCCTCCCATCAGAGCATACATGATAACAAACTTTTATAGATACAAGGTCGTACTGAATCATTTCATTCATTTATCCCTCTTTGCTAATCTTGAAAGATTTTATGGTCCCGAAATAGGAGGATGATATGCTAAGATGGGGATCAGAATACCTTTCTTGTTCTGCTATGTAAATGACAGATGTCATTCTGTTTAATTACTCCCACCCTTCACATTTAATTTTACCTATCAGATTTTCACAGAAATGTTGTAGGGATATTGAGTAATGGAGAAATAATGGAAAAATGTAGGAGATGGCTGATGAAAAGTGAAAAGTAGAGTAGGTAAGAGATAGGATATGAAAGTTTATGCCGTACGACTTAAATGAAATTACCAAAAATGAAAAATAGAGTAAACGGTAATAAAGTTTTCTTAAAACAAATGTGAACAGCTGGGAAAAAAAATGTACAATCGATTTGATAAAATGTACAATCGATTTGATAATGTATTGATGTATTCCTTCTTTAGAAGGTTTTACAGTTCGTTTTCTTGGCAAAATTTTGTAGTGTGAACTAATTTTAGTTTTTTAAAACTACTACTTGTAGGAGTATGTATGTTTGGTAGCTCGTTTTAATTTATTTTGCTTATGACAAAGTTAACCACTGAAGGGGTCTTAAATACTTGTCATGCAATACCTTGCTGCACGTCCTGATTCTGGATATGATAATATGCTAATGGACTCAAAGGTCCCATCTTTTCTTCAATGGTAAGTTCTGCTTAGAAAAACGTCTACTAGGTGTATATATTTCACTCAAATGTTAAGCTATTTATGTATGGCTGACTCATCTTGCGACTTGCACCATTAAGTTTCCTTAAAATTAACGCGATCCCCTAAAGTGATCTAATGGTGTCACGTAAGACATTATGCCCTACATGTGAAAAGTTGCCATTCCTAAACCAGTGACATAGCCAGAACCCCTATAGGAAATCTTCATTATGAGTTTTTACACACAAAATTTTGTGATTTTTTAACAAACTAGTGGTGGGCCCGCTTGCTACCGAACGGATATATGGAGTTGCGAAGGGTGAAAGGGGGAGATGGGAGAGACGTCGCTGCTGCTAAGAGAGCCTGTGTGGCATGTGTCTTGGACTTGAGCAGCAAACTGCAAATTCCACAAAACATCTTCAAATGATGGCCTATCTGCAGGATCCTCAAACAAACATCTGTAGCAGATTTCCACCATTGTCCGTACCGAGTCATCAGAACTTGAACCCTCGACCCTTGGGTCAACCATATTTCTTCTCCATGCATCATCAGCCGTTGGACTTGCTTGCAACTGCACAAAAACACGAATAAGCTAAAAAAAATACTGAAAGGGTTTACCTAGTCTCTTGAGCAGCTTTTAGAAACTTAAGTGCCTGTTTGGTAGGCTTTAGTTTCTTTGGCTTATCAGCAACACTTTTCACAAAAGCCTAACAATTGAGCCTAACTGACTGACCCCAAAAGGATCCAACTAATCTTAAAAGGAACCTCTGTGGTTGTATTCATACTAATATATTAGACACATGTAAGTTATATAACATCCTATGTGTAACCATAATAAATCAGGTCTAACGGGTCCTCAAAAGGTGAGTTTACCTTATGTTTATACGAAGTACATTATAGTCAAACCGAGTAAACATGTAATATGTCACATTCAATAGCTAATTTGGTGATAATGAAAAAAAAATATGCATTGTTAGTGAACACTAACATGTGATATTCATTAGATTGATTGTAATATGTTTCGCTTATCTATTTAAGAAATATATTTCAAATAATACTTTTAGATAATTCAATGGGTTTTTCAATTCAACCACAAATCCCACAAATTTAGCAAGTTCAGCCATTACAGTTGCTTTAAACATTTACCAAATGGACTCTTAGTTTTACGTTCTCTTGAACTGCTGGCAAAGAGAAGACGGTGATGGGAGTATACCTTATCTTTAAGGATCTTCACTTCCTTTTTGTTATTTATCCTCCTCCCTGTAATAAGTTCTAGTAATATTACACCGAAGTCGTATACATCCAGCTTTTCATTGTATCTTGCACTGCCAATAGATTCATCAGAATAATGTTGTGAGAGTACAGATATTAGAGATTACAGTTACCAAATCTTTCATAAGATGTGCAATTGAAAACTGAAACAACATCATAAGTTTATAGTACGCAGCATTTACGAACCTTGCACTATTGTGCTCCTTGGTACCACCTGGAACAGTTGGAAGGCTGACCTGCAGAATTCCATGGATAGTAACAATGATGAGATATTCATAACACCAATTTTAGTGGTTGAAGGGCTATATATGTATATGGTTTGAAAAGTTACTCCGTGGTTTGCAAACCTTGCGCTATCCAAACATGTATTTGTGGTTTGAAATGATGTGATTCCAAATGGTGGTCGGATTCAGTGTTCTGATGGCAGTTTTCACAAGACATTATTTTAAGGTGGGCAAAGAAATTATCTCTTTTTTTATATAAACTGATTTTAGCAACAGTTTGTAAGAGGTCGTTCTGATCCACAAATACTTTACAGCTTCTTGATTTAGCACTTTTAGATTTCTTTAAACGCTCCCAAAACCCCACCAGAATGCTTGCCAAACACCCACTAAATATATCTGTTTATACTTTTCCAAGTCATTTTATTCCAAACCTGTCCATCAGCCAAAATAGGTAGATTAAAGCTGCTAATTTTTGCTACGAGCTCCTGGTCCAACAGAACATCTGTTATCTTCAACTTATTAGGAAATACACCAGGAACAACTCCAGTATGCAAGAACTGGATACCCTTAGCTACTCCTATAGCAGCTGAAACTCGCTGTCCCCAATTTAGTGTCGGTCTTCCATGCTTCTCTGCAATGTAAAACACAAGCACCGAGAGGCAATACTGTCAAATGTGGAATTAGCTCAAAGGCATTATTATGATTTGAATCTCTAGTTTAAAAGATCCTATGTGGTGATTTGTTGTTTCATTTTTACCAAGAGGGCAAAGAATATACTCCGTATAATATAACTTGGGATTTTGCTTCTTGTACACGCCGACGTGTATATATGTCGGTTTTCTGTCTGTGAACTGGCAAGTTTTTGACAAAATATTGACACAAGACAAAAAACTGGGCATGTAGCCTATGCAAACAACAAATTTCTTTTACTAATGTGTATGTGATTGGTACATTACCAGATATCCAGCTCCGTAAGGACCCATTCGGTACATATTCAAAGACAAGGAATATTCTACTGACAGTAGAATCATCAAAGTAACACTCAAAGCAGTGGCCAAGAGCACTGGCTAGGTGCTGGTGTCTGAGCTTTGAGATTAACTCGATGCGTTGCATGAAACTTTGAATGCTATTGCTTCTTCTCAGTTTTAGGCATTTAATAGCAACATATGAACCATCTCCCAGTTGGCCTCTGTATATCTGAGTGCATGAAAATGGTAATTTTTCAAGCACAAAAATGGTAGAATATTGACTTTACATTATTGGAAAACTGCAACCTTTAACTTTGAGTGTACCTGACCGTTGGAAGATTCACCTATGAAACTTGATGTATCAAAGTTGTTCGTTGCCACTTCTAGTTCTTCCAGTGAAAAGGTCCGATATGATGGAACACTTGGCGATCCTAAGTTCATCGCTCGAGTCATATACCCTTAGAGCCCGTTTGGTAGTTTACACATTAAAACTTTGTATGCAAAATGATTGCATGTAAAGTTTAGGGCAGTAAAATGGTTTGCATGTAAAATAAAGATATATCGTTTGGTTACATATGTAATCTATTTTTAAATTACACGCAAACTCTTTACCAGTTATGCTCGGGGAAAAAAGTTTATATGCAAAAGGGGCCATGTTGCCGTTCTCTAGCAGCAGTGCCGCCGGTGCGATTTGATTTTTTTCTTTGTAACTATTTCGAACTAACACACAAGATGAGAACATACTTCGTATATTACTAATTTTTGCTTCAATTCAAGAATATGAATTGAAGCATATACCTCTTGATAACGTGGAGCGCAGAGCAGATGGAGAAGAGATTTGATGAATTGATGATATGATGATTTTGTTGGCTTATACGGAGTACTTCGTATAGAAGAAGATATGAAGTTCTTGCCAGCAAATTATTTGCTTTGCCGCCACACGCAAGTTTCCAAAGTAGCCTGCATCTAGGTCTTAATTGGTTCCATATATATTTATTCTCGGTCATATAAATGGATGTAAACCACTTTACCACCCTCCTCCCACGTAAAATATTTTACATGGTACAGTGTAAAATGTGTTTAAAAAAGTACCCTACAGTTTACATTAAATAGTTAAAACAAACGGTGTAAAGTGTTTACTTCCCCATACTTTACACGCAAAATGTTTACTTTACATCGTAACAAACGGGCCCTTAAATTAAACATAAGGCAAAGACCACACTTTAACTTAGATGCATGAAAGAAACTTTTTGACATGTTGAATTTAATCACCCTGGTCTCTTTCCAATTACACATACTGAGAAAATTCACAATATAGGAGCATAACAAAATACTGTATAAAATTTCAAATGGGAGTTTCAATGTTTTGTTTTTTCAAATAAGACTCATTCCCAGCGGTGGACGCAAGAATGCAAGAATTTTCGATTGGCCAAACGTCGAGGTCCGTACGGAGGTTCGTTTCCGGATGGTCCTGACAGGAAGACTACTCACATATATATATATATATATACTAAAATTTCGAGTAAATATACCTAGGGGAAAAAATTGGAGGGGCGGCGGCCCCCATTAGCCCTGCTCATTCTCTCATATTCTTGGAAGTTATTGTTTTATTTTTTAATAGGAGTAAATAAGTCACATTTTGAAAAGAAAATATATTTAGTTTTATTTTAGAATTTTGTGCATGTTTGATACTACGTATGCACTCCCATTTCAAATTGGAGGGGCGGAGTACTATTTTGCACAAATTTTTTTAAATGCTTCTTATGCATTCCCGTTTTTGTCTAGATATAAACTATTTTTTCATTTTTGTAATGTGAATTTCAGTGCTTTTACAAAAAATGTTTAATAGTAAAAATTAGTAGTGTTTGAGAAAAATGTGTTTCTGAAAAAAATGGTAGTGTTTGGTATAATAAGTACTTTTTGTTTAATAGAAAAGTGAAAATCACTTCAAAACACCCTTCGATCTGTTTCCAGCTTTTGGTTTTAAATGTCTATTTTAAGCAAAAGTTATCACTTGAAAATACTTTTTCATTTTTTTTTA